GTAATCCATGATAGAATTTTTTGAAAATTTGTGGTTTTTTTTTTTAATCCATGATTGATTTTTTTGAAAATTTGTTAATTTTTGTTTTTAATCCATATTATTCAAAGAGAAAATGAGAGAGATGATGATTCTGAGGCCACCCTATCCCAGCCATATTATTCACATAGGATGAACAAACTTTGGGGATTTTGGATTGGGAACACAACAAAACACTAACACTCAGGGATTTGGGAATAGTCAGACGCCTGCTAATATCGATAATTCGTTTTTAAATCGAATCAATGAATTGTTAAACGAATTCAATCAATGGCACCAGCGTGACCAAGAAGAACAATAACGTCGTCTATCATTTTATTTTTAGATCATATGTTACTAATTTTATGCTTTATTGTAATTCATGTATGTTGATATACTTATTCCATGATAATTCTATGTTTATCCTTTTGTGTGATGTAAATTAAATGCTGAATGGTGGTTCATGCAGGGAAAGAACATATCATTATTCATATATTCATTCAAAAACATGAAAATTCTTAATGGAGTACCCTCATTTCTTATTGAATTCCTAAAAAACAATATTTATAATGAATTTTAATAATTTTTTCTATTTTTTTTAAGCTTTATTCTGACCGATTCACCCGATTCCCGATTTGGATCGTTGATTCGCCGATCCGAATCGATTTTTTGGGTGCCCAATCCAGGTCACCGATCCGTTTTTTAAACCATTGCATTTGACCTAATGAACCCGCCGACTATGTACGTTCTCTCGGTTCGCGCACATCAAGATAATAAAAAAAAATTGTGAAATATTTTTAAAAAAAATTTTGAATTTTTAAAATTAAAATGATTTGATTTATGAACAAAAAGTTACTATATATGGCACATATTTTGGTGATTATCAAAAGAATATGAATACTGAAAATTTAGTTCCAGTTTGAGTGGAACACAATCATTCCACAATATAAAATGAAGTAAATTTTAATATTGTATAAGAAAAATATTTATAGTTAAAAATTTAAAATACTAAATATTTATATTTAACCAAAAACATAATTAAAAAATTTGTATTGAATAAATTTTTTGAATAATAAAAAAACCAAAAAATAGCCATAAAATGAAAATCACAAGAGGAAAAAGAAAAATATAAAAAATAAATAAATCAAGATTTTAACAATGAGGCACAAATAAAAAATAAAGAACAAAAATAGCATTTTGGAAAGAAAATGGCAGGAAATTAAACAAAAATCTAATTCTGTGCTTTTTCATTTTTATTCAATAAATTGTTATGACTTTTGTAGGTCAATGTGATAGAAGCATTTTTGGTACAAAATTGAATGATTTTCAAGAAAAAACTAGAGAGAAATCAAAGACTTTTTATTTCAAGTTCAAACAACCCTACAAATTTGGAATCTTGATTTCTCTTGTTTTCATTTCCATCCAACAAATTAATGTGGGATTACAATATAATTTGGAACCAGTTTCAAGTTTTTGGTTAAGAATCAAGAGAGAAATCGAAAGAGCGCGGATCAAAGTCTATACTTCAAGAAACACGGTTTTTTTTTTAAAAAAAAAAGAGAAACCCTTGTTAAAATATCAAATCAATCTAATGAAATAGTTTTGAGTAAAAAATAGGGGGGTTAAAAGATTGACTTAGGAGAAAAACTGGCATTAGACTGATTATTGATATAAACAAAAAAAAAAAACTCAAAAAAGCCAAAAACCCCCTTTTTTTTGCATAAATAAAATGGTACAGGGGCTTGCTCAAGTCCTCACGAGAATTGCCCTTGTAACCCGCGGTTGAAAGTCGATTGGAAGTTTTTGTTTTTAACACCATTCACAAGAAGTAAAACTTTTGAAGTAGTAGTCGTGTTGTAGGAAAAAATACATAATAAGAACATTTATGAATGTACTAAGGAATTGGTTTGATAGGTTTAAAACTGGGGCAAGCTCTATGTTTTCCTTTCAGTTCTATCATCTCCTTATCCAACTGTCCACATTCTGAATGGAGGGTTAAGATTGTCCCAATCGTAATATCACGTCTCTGCATTATTTTATTTTTAATTTTTTTTCTATAAACCAATGGTTTAAAAAACGGATCGGTGACCCGGATCGGGCTTCCAAAAAACCGATCAGGATCGGCGAATCGGTGATCCGGATCGGGAATCGGGTGAATCGGTCAGAATAAAGCTTAAAAAAAATTCGAAAAAATTATTAAAATTCATTATAAATATTGTTTTTTAGGAATTCAATAAAAAATGAGGGTACTCCATTAAGAATTTTCATGTTTTTGAATGAATATACGAATATTGATATGTTCTTTCCCTGCATGAACCGCCATTCAGCATTTAATTTACAGTATTTCGTGCTCATCCCTACACTGTTGCTGTTGGGACTCGATATGTGAATAATATGGCTGGGATAGGGTGGCCTCAGAATCATCATCTCTCTC